AAAAAAAAAAGTCACTCGCAATGAAACACAAATCAAGTACATTGTGTTTTTTTAATTAAATAATATAAATATATATTAAATGTATTTCAATACCAAAACATTCTTTCATATATAAGATCTTAAATTGAAACCGCAAATATATATTCCTAAACTTATGAATGATGTAAAGACTATCTATATATACATTTTTGGAGTACACTTAGCAAATAAATCCTAGAGTTGCTAAGTATTTACAAAGAATGCCATTAGTATTTAATTTTTTAATTCGAAAATTAGCATTAAATATTTGAATTATAGATTTAAGATTTAACAAACTTGCCAAAATCTCTCTTTATTGACTAAAACGAGATGATTACCTACTAACCAATAATTCCCCAAATTTCTCCATATTAACTCCATGATATTTTTCCAAATCTCTCTTAATTACTACATAATTAGCATTTGCGATAATCCCTCTACTCCAATCAAATCGAGTTTCAATAATACGAGATCCTTTAAAGTAGGATTTTCTTGATAAAATTAACAAATAAGATTTATTAATGCTTACATCACCATGAAATCGAAAGAACATCTATATTCTCTATAAAAAATGAAATATAGAATCGTAGAAAATAAGAAAATGGAAACTAATAACAACAAGCAAAGTGAATTTATGGCATATTCGTTATTTTTAAATTAAATCCGTTGCATTAAATCGTAAATTTTATATTTTTGCGATTTTGTATTTTCTCACCGAAATTTTTTCCATTACGAATCAACCCTAAACCCTACTATTTACGAGTAACTCTATAAATTACGGGAAAATTGGAAATAAAGGATATCTACTTAAAAATTTGTCCATATACACCTTTTTTGTGAGATTGTCAGTTTGGACGATTTTACCCCTACACCCTAATTTAATTGTTTTTTTTAAAAAATAACCATAAAAACAGGTAGATATACAAGAGTAGAGGTGATTTGAAGTATAATTTTTTAGAATTGGTTTAAAAAAAGTTGATTTTTTGATAGATAAAGTTTCATCTAATTTTGGTAGAATACGTTTTCTAGCGTTCTGCGAAACTCAGAATGTGTATTCTGCATTTTTGTACATGTTCTACATATTTCAGATTAGATTTCTGTTCTGAGAATTTTAGAAATCCGAAAATCAATAATCTAAAATATTTAGAACATGCATTCTACGTTTTTCTCTATATTCTAAATGTTTTAGAATAGACGTTCTAATAATTTCTACATCTTCTGCCATCGTTAGAAATTGTAATCTACGTTTAGAATGTAAATTCTACGGTATTGTAGATTTCGATTTCTGTAATTTTTAGAATGCTCTAAATATAGAAAGTAAATATTCAGAAAAGGAAACAAAATATTTTTTTAGATTACGATTTAAATGATTATTTATTGTTTAGATTACGATCTACAAGATGTAGAAGTTGTTGTCTACGGTTTTTAGACTAAGATTAAAACCTAAAACGTTTTTTAAACCCTAAAAAGCTATACGTCTTAATCCTACACGTCTTAGTCCACCACTTTCGTTTCTAAAAAGCTAAGAACACGTTTTCCTTCAAATTTTCCCGTTTTTGATCAACGATTTCTCGATGCACATCTACGTAAGGAGTGGTGTGTGGAGATTGTATAACAAGAAAGAGTGGAGATTTATTATTGATGAAAAAAATCGTGGGAGATTGTTGAGTTTGGAAACGACTACAACTTTTGAAGAGTTACAAGCGATTGTTGCAGAAGACTATGGAATAGAACAGAGTACAGTTGATGTGGAGTTAAGTTACTTACCCACGGATCTTAGCTTGGATTGTCCTCCTGTTGTAATGATGAATAACAGACAGGTTAGTAATTTCCTTTCGTACTGTAAAAGGAAAAATACGATCAAGTTATGTGTGACGTTCAATGGTGGAGATAAAGATACAGGGAGTAAAGAAAAATTCGATCTGAATAAGGAACCCGACGCTGCAAGTAATGGAGATGATGATGTTAATGTCGACGATGGAGATGATGATGTTAATGTCGACGATGGAGATGATGATGTTAATGTCGACAATATTTTGTCATCATGGGGTGTGAAAGAAACTAGAAAGAATGTCGATAGTTTCAAAACTCCAAAAAATGCTATTGTTGGTCATGGAATCGGATCGTCGTCACAGTATTCTTGTGTGAGCCAGGGTCAGTATTTCAGAAGCAAAGAATTGTTACAGTCAACCATGGAATTGTATGCGATGAAGTATAACTGTGACTACAGGATTACAAAGTCTGATACAAAACTGTGGTGTATACGATGCATAGATGTTGGCTGCAAGTGGCGACTTCGAGCTGAGCGTTTAGAGCGGTCTTCGTATTTAAAAATCAACAAGTACGTGGGTAACCATACATGTGCTCCTTCCAAGAAAAGTAAATTCTGTCGAACACCTTCAGCAAAAACGATTGGACATATCATTATGCATAATTATGAAGGTGTGTTGGAAGGACCTAAACCGAATGATATCATCAATCTTATTCGGTCACAGTATGGACACGAGCTTAATTATTCGCAGGCGTGGGAGTCTCGTGAGTATGCACTTAATGAAGTCAGAGGAATTCCTGAGAAAAGTTATGGTAAGATACCAAAATACTTGTACATGCTACAAGCAGCTAATCCCGGTACGTATACAAATTATGAAGTTGATTGTGATGGTAGATTCCAATATCTATTCATATCTTTTGTTCAGTCAATTAGAGGGTTTTACAAGTCAATTCGGAAAGTGATTGTTGTTGACGGTACATTTTTGAAGAGTAAATACAAAGGAGTTCTTCTGGTTGCTACAGCCGTAGATGGTAACTCTAATTTGTATCCAATCGCATTTGGCGTTGCTCGTTCTGAGAATGATGCATCATGGGAGTGGTTTTTCTTGCAACTTAAGACACTCATAGCGGATGATCAAGGTTTAGCTTTTGTGTCAGATAGGCATTTGTCGATCAGTAAATCGCTTGAAAAAATCTATCCGTTAGCTTCCCATGGTATTTGCATCCACCACTTGATCGGTAATGTTATTACATATCACAGTGGAAGGGGTGTGGCTGGTATGGTTGCAAAAGCGTCTAAATCCTATAGAGTTACTCAGTTTGAGAAGTTGTTCGAGGATATTTGCAACATCAGTCCAGCGATTGGTGCATACTTAGACGATGCTAATGTTGAAAAATGGGCTCGCTGCCACTTTCCGGGATTTAGATACGACATTAACACCAACAACCCTGTAGAATCAATCAATTCTGCTTTGAGATCACCTAGAGAGTATCCGATAATTCCTTTGTTAGACAGCATTAGGGAGATGTTGACACGTTGGTTTTATGAGCGAAGAGTATTAAGTGCAAAGCAAAAAGATCCGTTGACTATTGAGGTGGAGAAAAAGATTTCTAGAAGAATAGAGAAAGGTAAATTTTTTAAAGTTTATCCGATTACTAGTAACAGATTACATGTTAAAGCAAACGGATTCGACTTCGTCGTTGACTTGGAAAGAAGAACATGTTCATGTGGGAAGTTTGAGATAGGGAAACTTCCTTGTAGACACGCTATAAAAGGAGCTTATGTGATAGGCAAGTGTATATACCCATATGCTGATGATAGGCCTGGGCATTCGGTTAACCATTCGGTTTCGGTTCGGTTATGTTCGGTTTCGGTTAGTTTGGATATGGTAATATAATAACCATTCGGATATTTTAAGAATTTCGGTTCGGTTCGGTTCGGTTACCTTTCGGTTCGGTTCGGTTTGGATATTTAAATAGATAACCGTAACTAACCAAACTTTTATCACGTTCGGTTTGGTTCGGGTTTTTACCCAAATTAACCAAAATTTACCGTAACTAACCGAAACTAACCAAAATTTACCGTAACTAACCGAAACTAACCAAAATTAACCACAAAAAAATACAAAAAGAAAATACAAAAAAAGAAAGTATTAGAAAAAAATATTAAAATTTGATTCAATTTTGTAAAAGAGTATTTAACTTTGACAAATATAACAAACAATATTTGAATATTTTGATTATTTAAAGTATTTGATTATTTTGATTCTAAAAATAATTAATATTTTGAGTTTATAATTATAGTTTTGGATATTATTTTTGGGTATCTTATAGGTTTTTGGATATTTCGGTTAACCGTTTGGTTATCGGTTCGGTTCGGTTCGGTTTCGGTTAGTTTGGATAGGGGATTTTACAAACCATTCGGTTATTTTAAAAACTTCGGTTCGGATATGGTTCGGTTTTTTTCGGTTCGGTTCGGTCGGTTATTTGGTTAGCGGTTTTTTTGCCCAGGCCTAGCTGATGATGTGTATACCACTGCCACTTGGAGATCGTTATATGAGGAAACTATTAATCCAATTGGTGTTCCCGAAGAAGAATGGCGTGTCCCAGAGGAGGTTGCAGCTGCAATTGTGTTACCACCTGAAACAAGAAGACAACCTGGTCGACGAAGAAAACGAAGATATGAAACGGCTGAAGACAAGATAAAAGCGTCACAACAATCACAATTGTCAAAGAGACATAGGTGTAGTCGTTGTGGAAAAGAAGGCCATAATCGAACAACATGTGACATAGCTATATGATTAAGGTTTGTCTAACTACTGGTTGTAATCTTAAATAGAGACTTTAAAAATTGTCTTTTGCTAACGGTTTTGTTTTTAATTTACAGGATTAGAAAGCAACTTCAAATTATGAGCAGCTTCATGTTTTTCCGATTCACTACCATGGGAGGTTGCGGGGGTTCAGTTCTTAGTTTTTGATTTTATTCTAATAATTTTCGTTTTGCTTTTTTGAGTATTACATTCACTTATACTTATATTTTTGTTTTTGTGTTTTGATTTATGGATTCAGTATTAGTTAAGTTTGTGGTTTAGTTTTGAACAATAGATTCACTTCTACTTATGATCATTTTTTGTTCCTGCGTTTGTCTCTAATGTTTGTGTTCATAATCAAGTTTGTAATGGATCAAATTATACATGAGCTAATAGGAGATATTAGAGACGAACTCAAGGAACTTACTTTCATAAAACGCCTAAATAATTAGGAAAAAAAAAACAAAGGTCATACAAAATACATGTCGCAAGAGTAGGACAAAAAAAAACACCATAATGCTAATTAATCTCAATCAATTTCAAGGATATCCGACGATTGATGTGGAGGTTTATAGTTCTTCATTCGCTCAATTAAGATAGGATCATGAGCAGCCTCCCAAAGGTCTACAGCAATCTTCATGCGCGCCTCTTTGATGTTCCCATCGTTTATCAAATCCATGCTTAGATTAAGCATATGACACTCAATGTGTTTCAATGCATACACTCCGCAATCACACATAGTAGTGTTCAGATTTTTAGGCACCTTGACGTTTATTATCTCATATTGTGTCAATAGAGGGACTTTTCCATATACCTTCCCGTGCACGTCTTTCACAATCCTTGGGATGATGTATGCAAACATTTCCACGTTTCTTCTGTTGTTGTTGCCGAAACAATCGAAGACTTCAACAGTTCTTAAAACAAAGTTGACGCAAATAGAAATCCAGTGACTATTATTGACGTTTACCGGAGCATAAATTCTGTCGAAATCCAAAGCCCAACTTTTACCCGTCTTTCCATGAGATGGGGACTCACCGGTGACGAAATCAATAAGCCGACTATCCCATTTGTGGGTCTTTTTATTTTTCATGAACTTTGGGTATTCGTTTTTGATTCGCGCGCTAAACTCGCAACTCATAAACCCAACACGAGCTGAATTCAGTCGGCGTAAAGATGTGGATTCCCGATGTAAGTACAGTACTGCATCTATTTCCTGCGTTGCAATTATTTTTAAAAACAAGTTAGTATTTATCGAAATGAATACGTAATCAGTCATGAAAAAAAAAATAGTAAAACTTACATCGTTGCCTAGCCATTCTTTTTGATCAATCAGACGCTTAAATAGTGCATCAGTTAGATGAGATGGACCGAGTTTTGGAACATCACGACTGTAATGAAGGTAAAACAAAAAGAATAAACAATTATACAATCAGGTATATTTAAAAGATATAAAAATAGAATCATAGGACTTACTTTACGTTCCTAAACCATGCTTCAAAAGCAGTCCATCTAGCTTCAGGTAAGTATACCAACACCGCGTCAACGTCATATTTACCCGAATCACCCTTATCATTCCAATCCATAAACTCTGCAGTGTCGTCTTTGCGCTGTTGTTTCTCGAGGTTTTGTGAAAATATACCCTGTGATGGATCAAAACCCGGTGCTTGTGATTTTTGAGAAAGATGCCCCATTTCTTTTTGCAGAAAATCTGGATCTTGCGAATCCATATTAAGGTCTATTTCACCCGGACGGGTGAATAATTCATGAAACAGACAATTATCGTCCTGCAAAGACAGTCAATGTAAATATCAAAACAAAAACAAACAAAATAACTAAGTCTGAAATTACAATACATGCCTTTAAATATTATAATGCATAAGTTACTAAATAGCCTAATTACAAGGTTTTACATAAGTTTTTACTTCTTACGAAAGCTACAAACACAAAACATATAACAGAATTACAATGTCATACAATGCTAAAATACAACAACAGAAGCTTTGGTTTTTATTTTTAACGTACCACTGGTTGACCATTACCGAATGGTGGTGCCTTGTCTTTTTTCGAATTCTCATCCATAGTGATCACTGCTTTCTTGAGTGTTGCTACATCTAGCTCTATCTTTCCTAATTTGTTGCTTACTTCTTGCCCAAAATGCTTGAAAGAAGTTTCAAACATTTCTCTGATGAATGTTTTCATCTCTTCATCAAAACCATGTGGTGCGGCTGGAGCTCTTTGACATAACAGTTTCATCTTCCTTGTCTGTGCACCGTGATCACCGTCCTTACTCCTTCTCTTCTTTGAACTTGTCGCCATTTCATGCTCATTACTCTGCAAACCAGAGAGTAGGCTACCTTCAACAGTGACATTCGCCTCTTCCTTGTCATTTGTATGTATCTCACCTTGACCTTCCACATAGCCATCTTCTACTAAATCCTCATCTATCGTTTCTTCCTCGACATCAGGACTCTCAACAGCATCCCACTCAAAGTCAGAAAAATCATAACCAGTTCTTATCAAAGCGTTTAAGTTCTTCAAAGCAACATCACTGTTCTCACCTTGCCTCAGGAAATCCACTGACTCATATACATCATAATTTCCTGTGATGGAAATGTATGGATATACAATATCCTGCAGAATAATATTTACTTATCAGAAATACAGCAAACCCATATGAATTGTTGAGTATATATGTATGAAAATTAAGCTACTAACCTCTGCTGTCATTCCTGTCTCTAATTCGATAATTTCTTGATAAGAAACTTTTGCTGCCCCTTTCCAGTTAGAACATCTAAGAGAAGCTCCCAAGTTCTTGTTAAGCTTCACTCCTAATATTCCTCCTATTTTAGGAACTGCTTCCATAGCCCATATCTGTAGTGCAATTGAGAAACCATCAAGGGCGTAGCTTTTAGTCTTCTTCAAGTCCTTTTTTGCGTTTGTGATCGACTCGACAAGATAGTCAAACGAATGTAAACCCCAAGGATACGCCCTTAACTTCTCAAGATCCATCACCAATTTGATGTAATGTACTGGAATAGCTTTCTTCTCATCTTTCGCAATTACCAAACCAGCAATCACACACAAATAGACAAATCTAATCCTATCTACTTTACCCCACTTGTGAACTGCTCCTAGATGCGTAGACATCATCGTCTTAATGCATATCTTCTCCTCTCTTTTCAGCAACTTGCTCCAAAACCCCTTATCATCTTTCCAAGTATCTAAATCATACTTGAAATCATCATTGTATTTCAGCCCAGTCACTGCGTAGAACTCTTGCAAAGAAAATCGGAGAGGCTTGTTTCCAAACACAAACCAGAGCTCATGTTGTTTTCTTGTTACCAATTGTCTACACATTAGGCTGTGCACCAGACGACCCGAATAATGTAAACCATTTTCGTATATGGCGAAGACTTGTGCAAACAGAGGATCAGACTTCACTTTCTCATACTCTATTGGCAAAGCATCCTTGATTTTCCTAAGTATCGATAATCTGCAGCTGTTGTTAATTTTCTCAACTTGAGGCTCTTTACCATGTCCGAAAAGGAGCTTGGGAAACTCCTTAGTAGTGGCTGCACATAAAAAACAAACATATGTAAATAAAACCATTCACAGTGATGACTAATTATAGTGCATAGTTGCAGTTAGCAAACAAAAATTAGTATGTTAAAGTACTTGATGTCTTACTCGTGCTTCCTAGATTGTTTTCCATTGATAACCTTTGATGTAATGTAGATCCAAAACCTGAAAATAGAGAACAAACTAGCTATATCAAATATTTAAAGTTATTAAGAGACAAAACACTTGATATAAAAATAAGACCCTAAACAACGTGAATCTTTCCTCAATCTAAATTTTTACATATTCCATTATCACAGTTTGAGGCATGTATATCTCACTAAATGGAGACATCTACAAGATTATACACAAAGATGATTCAAAGAGCTAGAGGACTTAATAAATCAATTAGCAATTAAAATTTGGAGTTTTACAACACAAAAACTGAAATCTCTAAACGAGTAACACAAATTCAAAGAACATAACCAAATATATAGAGCAACTAATACACTCCTACGTTTGAGGAGATTATTTTAAGATCAAAGAATGATTCAAGCTAAGCCTTTTTCAAACTCAAGCAACGTCGGAAAAAATAACAATGTGATTCCAGTCTAGCAGTTTCCCTTCTTAAGCAATGGTGATATGGATATATAGATCATAGTAACTCAGTCAAACTAAATTATCGTTTTTACATGCTAGCAAAGCAAAACATGCCTAAGCAAATTCTTTCAAGCCCATCGAAAACCACAATGCATAAACAAATATCCGGTATTGCTATCCAAGCTTTTATCTTCAATTTAGCTTGTATACCTTTGGACCTGTTAAGTGATCAGAATTTTTACCCAGATATCAGATCAGGTATACTAGGTTCTTATGACAATGAAAGAGAATGGAAAGAGCAATTTTTTCTAGACCATTAGAGTAATCTGCGTTTCTTTTCCTGGCATCAATCTTATTTCTAACCTTAGATAGATATTAGCCAATGATTCCTCTACCCGAAATTTTTTAAGAAAAAACCATAGCTAGCTATTGCTAACTGATAAGCTAATGTTAAATCGCAAAATTTACAGTTGCGTCTTAAAAGAGATTCACAAACACATATACATTAACATGAATCAAAGAGATAGAAGACTTAATCAATAATTGATGTTGTGACACTTGAAACGCATGAAAGGAATCTAGGAACAAAACAAACAAAGGAATCTACATGCAATTGAAATTTGGAATTTTAAAACTCACAAAATTGAAACTTCAAATCTGAACTACACGAATTCAAAGAAATTAACAAATCTACATGCAAACTGAAATAAACTCTTGCAAATTACACTAAATCGAGAGAACAAGAAAGGAGAGAGACGAACCAATAGAAGACAACAGAGGAGAGAGACGAACCAATAGGAAACTTCAAGCTGAAATCAAGAGGAAGCAAGACGGCGCCAGACACAGAGACGGCAGAGGAATCGCCGGCGACGACGATTGAGAGAAGACAGAGGAATCGCCGGCGGCGACGATTGAGAGAAGACAGAGGAATTTCCCGACAGATGTTTTTTTTTTTCTTCTTTTCGTCAAACAAGTCTTTTATTAGGTCTTCGTGAAAGACTCTCTTTCATTTGGAGTTTTTGTGATTTTATTATTTCTATTTTAATTTTGTAAAACCAATTAGGAAGTTTTATTTTTAAAATGAAATTTGTGAGAAAATGAGGGTAAAATTGGGTTTTTTATTTTTAAAAACCTATTTGACCAATCTACAAAAAAAGGGGATATATGGACAAATTTTTAAGTAGATATCCTTTATTTCCAATTTTCCCATAAATTACCTCTCAATAGATCCAGGAATATCACGCAATCAAAAAAAACTTTACCTCTCTTACCGGCGAAAAACGACTTACATATTATAATGGCTACTACATTATAACTTTTCAAGGGATTCTGGACTTATGTCCTTACAAAAACCGTTTGACAAGTAGAGGTTAAGATCTACCACTCATGTGCACAAATACAAAATCAATACTTGAGAGTCTGTTGAATTGGTGTTGGCCAATGAATTTAATTCTTAAGATTTGAAAATATTTAATGAAATATTTTACACTTACAAAATAGTCACTCAAATCCTTGCAATAATCTCGATTAAAGATTATTTAATCAAATCTCTAAATCAGATATTTTCTTAAATTCTATATTCTTCTTTCATGCTTTGGATTTGTGAATAAAACTATATTATGGATTGGTAATTATAAAGATTTGTAGAATATTTAAACGTGACAAAAAATTATTTTAATATTAAATTATGAAATTATATATGTTTAACGGGTTAATCGTAAAAACACCAAAAGATTGATCGTATAACTTACTAAACAAAAAAATTGTAAAAATCTAACATTCTTATATATCAAAATAAGTGTTAATCTCCTTCGACACCTCTTTTTTTTTTTTTCGTCTCCTCCTTTGACACCTCTAAATGTGTAATTGACTAATTGAAATATTACAATATTATATTCTATGGGTTAAATCTAAAGATATTAAAAATTTAATTAATCATATAATTTTAATACTAAAAGTTTTATACACATTTAATATTGCTAAGTAAATAAATAAAATATGACCCCGCGGTATACCGCGGGTTAAATTTTACTTTTATGTGTATAACTAGATCTGGATCCGCACCTTCGTGCGGGGTAAATTTCATAAAATTGCAAATCTTAAAACTTTTAAACTAAAAATAGTAAAAAAATATATAAAATGTGAAAATATTATAGTTTTGATTGATATACAATAGTGTTACAAA